CACTCCTGAATGTACAAACTTCTTTAAGGTCACCTCTCAGCCCAGCGGTGAACGTCTCAAGCCCATGAGGCATCCATTCCAGGTATTTTCTTTTTAGAATTTTGCAACTAATTGTTAGAAAGGAAGACTATTTTAAAAATGAGCTGTTACTTAGCAGAGAATCAACGTATTTGAGTGAACAGAGAGTAATGGCCAAATGCAAGATAGGGTGAGTTTGCATACTGCCAAGACCAAGTTTACAACTTCAGGAATCGCACAACATCAGGTTATAATCCAACAGGTTTATTTGAAATCACAAGCCTTCAGTGTGCTGCTCCTTTGTCAGGTAAAGGAACAGCGATCCAAAAGCTTGTGATTTCAAATAAACCTATTGAACTACAACCTGGTGTTGTGACTTCTGACCTTGTCCACGCCAGTCCAACACTGGCACCTCCACGTTGAGTTTACAATCATGGATATTTTATAGCGGGGCATATCCAAATCTTAGCCAATCTGTCCCACTAACAAAAAGATTGTTACTGCATCTCCTCCAAATCCTCTATCCTTTCTGAAGTGTGCACAGAACAGGACACAGTTTTCCAGTTTAAGCTGAACCAGTGATTTTTGTGAAGGTTCTTCATTGCTTCTTTTGTACCTTATGCATTCTGAAGAGCCCAGGACCACGTTTCTCAATTTGCAGTGCTACCTTAAGCGATTTGTGTAAATGGACCTCCAGAACTTTTTTGTTTTTGTTCCCTTGTTGAATTTGCTAAAAATGTTGGGATCTCATGCTGAGGTTGGTGAAGCCTCTTCTGGACTACTGTGTACAGTTCTGGTCACCCTTTTGTAGGAAGGATATTATTGAACTGGAGCGGGCTCAGAAAAGATTTACCAGGAAGTTGGTGGAAATTGAGGGTTTGAGATATAAAAATAAACTTGAAAGCCTGGGAATTTTTTCACTGGAGCGTAGGAGATTGAGGGGTGACCTTTTATTGAGGTTTGTAAAAAATCATAAACGACATGCATAAGGTGAATGACAAGTGTCTTTTCCCTTGGGTTGGGGAATTCAAAACTAGGGGCATTTTTTAGGGTTAGAGGAGAAATATTTTAAAAAAGACATAAGGGGCAACCTTTTCACAGTGGTCCTTGTGTGGAATGAGCTGCCAGAAAAATTGATGGATACAGGTACAGTTACAATGTTTAAAAGACATTTGGACAAATACATGAATAGGAAAGGTTTGGAGGGATATGGGCTGAGCACAGGCAGGTGGGACTAGTTTAGTTTGAGATCATAGTTAGTGTGGACTGTTGGTCCGAAGGGTCTGTTTCGATGCTATGACGACTCTTGACTCCATAATGAAAAATAGATCTCAACATTAGACATTGACTATTATGGTGACCAGGTACTTGTAAATGAAGAAGTAACTTACGGTTTTTCGATTTGACATTCGAAAAATATTTTGTTTTAAATTAGTAGGGACCTGAGGGAATTTTCTAATCCTTGGAAAGAACTCTGCAGAATCTCAGTAAACACACACCTTAATTGGTTTGCCATGCACTAAATGTCATTGTTATTTCTCTTTTCCGTGTTTCATCAATAATCCATCATTTTTCTTTACTTTGGAAATTATGACAAGCTTGACCTTAAAAAGTTAGTTATGTCGGGTGCTAGTGACTGTATTTTTTTTAAAGTACAAAGTGTCATTATTTTAACCACTCAAATCCTGTGTTGACATAAGACCTAACAATGTAATTTTATGACTCTTAATCACCCATAGATAGAACAAAATCTCCTTTTAGATCATTTAATGAAATTGTTGAGCAGATAGTCTCGTGGAGATATGACAAATTGAACCAAGACAATAATCTTCAAGTTAATGATCGAATAGACCCTTAGCGCCCAGACGTAGTTTTCGGATAAAGTTAGCTCTCATTTGAATCCCGTGTTGCAGTTGATGGAAAAGTAAACTCCATTTCAGTATATATTTTCAACTTGTGAGTAACTCTAATGTTTTCAACAATATTTGGGAAGCATTAATAAATTTTCTTTATTGTCACTTCACTGTTAATACTTTAAATGTTATTTGTGCTCTGCAGACTCCTTTGTTGTTAGATCGCTACGCTCAGACATGTTTAATTAAAAATGTTCCTGTGTCAGTATTCTCTAATCTTCTCACTTCATATAACTGCTTCAAAGGTAGATTTCATATTTTGCTTCTCCTGTTGCTGAAAAAAACTTCCAGAAATTTTCCTTACAAATTCTATCTTCAGTTTTTATTTCCCTGCTCCCATTTTATTTCGGTTATCTCTTTATACTTCCCCTTTTTAAAAGAACCTCAATCTTTTTTTATGTTAGGGACACCTTGTCAATGGTTGTTAAAAGCTTCAGAAGTTCAGCACAATTGCCCCAAAATTCTCTCTCTCTGTTTTTTGAGAGGCAACAGCTAATATTGACTTCACTCTTTTCTGGCTCATTTAGATTTTGATTTGAAGTTGGCATTGTGTTTAATTTTATGTACAATATGTACTTCTGTTATGGTCTTTACGCTGTAATTACAATGAAAGAAACCATTAAGAATTTGCGTTCACGTAATGCCTTTTATAATCAATGGATATCTCGCAGTATTTTACGGCCCAAAGTGTTTTTTCTTTAAATGTGCTCACTGTTGCAGTGCAGGAAAAATGGTGTTTGAGAAACAGGATCTTAAACCAAAGATAAGGTTCTGCTTTACTCAGTAACTGTCATTCCTATGCTCCTATATGCTTTGGAAACTTGGACATCTGCAGCAAGCACCTCAAAGCACTCAAGATACCCCCTACAATACCTTGGCAAATCCTCTGAACCTGGTGGCAAGAAAGGAAGTGAGACATCAGTGTCCTTTCCCAAGCCAACTTTAAGGTGCTTATTAACTCAAATCCGTGCCATGGGCAGGGCAGTTTTTTTTTGTTTGTGTACTCAAGACCAGACTCGTGAGTCAACTGCTTTACTTGGAATTCTGTTGTGACAGGAAACTCTCATGAGCAAAGTGGAAACATTTGATGTCCTCCAAACATTCCTGAAGAAGTCAAACAAACATCCCCGCAAGTCTGGCTTGTGACGGATGAAAATGGAGAAGATTGAGAAACATCAGTAGGAATGCATGGTGGTGAAGGGAAGGTGTGCATGAAAGTGCACTAACCTTGGTATAGCAGAGTCTGCAAAACATGCTTTGATTTTCTCAGTCATCTGAGAACCTATTAAAATAGAATTGATGCAAGCCATGCTTGATTCCTTTTGATAAAGAGAATCTAGGGAATATGACTAGTAATAGCATACACCAGGATTCCAAAAAGAAAACTGGAATTATGGTCTGTTTTATGTTGTTAATTTAAAGTAGGGCAGTAGAATTTTCTTTGCATCTACTTGAGCCAGTGAAAGGGATTTTGATGTGGCACCTTGACTAAAACACACCAGTTTCAAAAATCCAGCGCTTCTTAGCGTGTTGTAGCCTTGAATTATTGACTAATGCAGGAAAATTTTTTTCTGATTCTCTCACAAAACTTTGTTTGGCACAGTGCAAGAAGTATCCAATCTGTTTAATGTGATCAGATATGTACTTGAAAATACTATAAGCAGCAGGTTTTTCCAGCAATCCGTATGAAAGCTTTCCATCTGTGTGGTTTTTTTTCTTTAAAACCCCAGTCGTAACATCAGGTTGTTTAAATAATAAGTATTATTAGCACGACTATTAATTTATAGAACATTCTTCAGCCTGATAATTTATGATAAGACCGGAAACAATCAAGATTTCAGCGATGCTCATAAATTTTGGCATTACCTAGATTTATGAAGCTCCTTTTTTTTTTTAAAAAAGCTTCTGCTTTCTGTCAGAGTTTTCATCACACCCTCACCTTTTAACAAAAGTTAGCAACTAATGATCTATTGTCTTAAGTTGGGCATCTCAACTGTCAAGGCAACTTTTATTTTTACACTGTATTCAATTGGGTTTGGGTGAAGCTCCTGCTTTAAACCAAGGAAGCTGTGAAAAATGATGTTGGAATTTTAAAAAGGAGTCTGTTGAAGTCCTTGTGAGTTGTACCTAAAATATTGCTTTATTTGAGCAATGGGGGAAAGTGATAGACACATTTGATTTATTACAGTCGCATGTATGGAGATACTGTGAAATGTATTGCATGCTAACCAGACAAATCTTATTTTACATAAGTACATCAGCGTACAAGAACAGAATGCAGAATATAGTGTTTCAGCTACAGGGAAGAGAAGGATGAACTCTAATGTGAGAGGTCCATTCGTAAGTCTGATAGCAGTGGGGAAGAAGCTGTTCTTGCATGTGTTGGTACATGTTTTCAAACTTTTGCATCTTCTGTCTGAAGAGGGTGGAAGAGAGTATAATGGGGAATGGGAGGGGTCTTTGATTATGTTGTCTGCTCTCCTGAGGTGGCAGGAAGTGCAGATGGAGTCAATATGTGTGATATCAGTCGCCCTGTACCTCGTGCAAACCAGTGAACACATCAAGACAAAGAACATCAAAAAGCAGTGTTCTGATCAGTACAAACACTGTTAGAGTATATTGTGTGAACAGAGAGCACTGAACTGCTTCCCTATTTCCCCACCCCACCCCACAGTCTGTGTGTGTGTGTGTGTGTGTGTGTGTGTGTGTAAAATTGGATGTTTATAATAAGGGTCTAGGCCCAAAACATCAGCCTTCCTGCTCCTCTGATGCTGCTTGGCCTGCTGTGTTCATCCAACTGTACACCTTGTTATCTCTTATAACCACGTAAGGTTCTGAGGAAGGGTTGCTGGACCTGAAATGTTAACCCTGATTTCTTTCTGCAGATGTCACCAGATCTGCTGAGCTTTTCCAGCAATTTCTGTTTTTGTTTCTGATTTCCATATCTGCAGTTTCTTCTGGTTTTTATTTAGTAAGTGAGGATAATGACTTGGTGCAGAAAGATTATTTTGGAAAGTTAACATAATGAGTCTGTTTTGTGTTTTTCATTTCCATGTTTTTTCATTTCAGATGCTGTTGACAGAATACTTAGATGTGAAGAATACTCGAACTGCCTCTGAACCTTCATCACAACTCAGCTATGCCAGCTCAGGAAGTGATTTTGCAGCATTCTTTGCCAAAAAGAGACCTCAGAGGCCCAAAATGTCTCTCTTTAAGTAAGAATCAAAGGCTCTGTTGTTAGGTTTTAGAGAAACAATATGCCTTCTTAATAGTCTTTTAGTTTAAAACAGCAACAAGCTGTTCGGGCACCTTTTTTCAGTGAAATTGAGTTTTATGTACCCTCTGAAAATTTGTGTTGTTTCTATGTACTGGTGTAAGGAAATCCAAGTCCGGCTAACCAAGGGCTTGGAACTTCTCCCCCATTGATAAAGCTGGAAGCAACATCAGTGATAAACACAATCTTGTAACTTACACTGCTAATTAAAGGAAGTAATGGGAGAGAACCATGCAGGGACAAAAGTTCATGAACATTAACTACCTGATAATTTTCTGACTGGTACGTGTTTCACCTTCTAATCTTGTCAATCAGAATTTTTTAAAAAATGACTGAAAGCATTCCAGTCCAGTAGTTTAGCTGTCATGGGGCTCATTCCACAGAGTGGCACTTTATTTCTGGGAATAACTATTTTGAAATTTTACCATTATAGTTGGCTTTGTCTAGATGGCGATTGTTTTGTTTGTTATTCATTACTGGGATGTGAACGTTATTGGTGAGACCAGCATTTATTGACCATCACCTAATTTTCCTTGAACCATTGGAGTTCATAAGATTTTAATACACTGATAGTACTGTCGGAGAAGGCAGTGCATGTCTTGAAATGAATAGTGAAATCTTGGTTTGGAGAAGGCACGGATTTTACTTTTGTGTAGTAGATTCACTGTTCAGGATTGATGCTCAAAATTCTCTTGCTTGAGTCTTGCCTGGTGGTGGTGTTACAGTAGCAAGGGATCATAAACATTGTATATTGCAATAGTAAGTGTTACAACAAGGGAACTATGCATAAAAATAACTTCAAAAGGGCCTTTGGGTGATGACATAAGCAATAGTATTATTCAGTTGATGCTTAAAACAATTTCGCAAGTTTCTGAAAGCTTGCGTGAAATCAAAATGTTAGCTTTGTCATATTTCCATGTGATCAAACCAAAATTTCATTTTCATTTTCATTTTCATTTTCATTTTCAAATTCTAAGTACTGACAGCCCAAGGTTTTAGAGACAACGTACAATTTTTTTTTAGAACAGGCAACTATTTTTGTTAAAATCCTTATCAGTTGGGTGGAAAAAAAACTGTGCCAAGCTGATAATGTGAAAAGTGATATGCAGATAATATACAGCAGCCTTATCAATTTACAAAAAGAGAAAAGGCAGATGAACACAATAGCAGAATACTGTGACTGCTACAAATCTGAATTAAAACAGAAAATGCTGCAAATACTTGGGAGGCCAGGCAGCAATGGTGGAGAGGGAAAGCGTTAATGTTTGAAATTGACATGGCCTTTCTTCAGAACTCAGAAGTTAAAAATGTAAACATTTTAAGTAAGTGCAGAGATGAAGAAGGTAGCATGCAGAGGGAAGATCAACACTGACTGGGTAGAAGACAGGAGAGATTATATTATACAGGATTGATGTTGCTGAGCAAAAAGAGGGTGGAAATGGGTAATAGTGAAAAGATCAAACACAATGCACAGAAAATTAGAAAATCCGAATCATGATCAATGACTGTCTGAAAGAATAATGCAGTGTCAAACTTAATATTCAGTCCACAAAGCTGTATAGTAGTGCAGTTGACTTTTAATTGTTCTATGGCCAATTAGGGATGAGCACTAAATGCTGATTGCTACATACCACGACCAAATACAAAGTAAGTGCTTAATCAAAAACTAATGTAATGTTTGTCAAACTTAGTCCAGGGTATGAAGCCAAATGGAGCATTTTAAGTCCACTATGACGACTTTGGAACGCTTTGCCTTTCCATTAATGGTACCAGACTTTTTGACTTCCTTCAGCACTTTGAATTGCTTTGCCAAAGCAATTCAATGCCCATCTTTGTTTCACTATCTTCCAATGACCCTGTTTTCCCCACATCTGCTTCAAATTTGATTTGTGCCTTTTTTTTTTTTTGGCTTAAAAGGTGAAATGGTCTGTCCCCTGACAGCTTCCTGTGCCAAAATATTCCATGCTGCAGCATCTCTTTCACCTGACTAGTGTCTACATTTTCAAGTTAATGAAATGACATTCTCTGTCTTGGTTCAATTTAAAACCTTTAATATCATTTTAAAAATTGTATTCTTATCTTTGACTTCTCCACTCTTGTGAAAACATTGTAAATTTCGCATGTCTCTCCTTGGATTCCTAAAGTAATAATCTAGTTGCGTTATGTGAGCCTGAATTGCGACATTCCACTTTCAAAGGCATATTAATGTGATGGCTTAGTATTAGTTCAGAGGAATGACTCTCAAATAATATTGACTATTTCAATTAGATTTGTCCACTTGCAGGTTTGAATCCTCTTCACATGCTATCAGTATGAGTGCATACCTCCGTGAGCAAAGACGGGAGTTATACAGCAAGAGTGGTGAGCTACAAGGTAAATTTATTAGATATTATGTACTTGATATTTCTCAGAATGGAGGAAGATATATTGTTGGTTTTGGTGCAACCAGTGAAGAGGGATGAATTGACTCCCCACTTTAACACCCTCAGTTGGCCGCACCAAAGTGTTTTTTTTTCCTCCTTTTTTTTAAAATTATGCAGATGTGTCCCCCTTCAGTTAAGATATAGTGCTGGTCAAATTTAAGAAGCCAATTTCAAGGTTTTCTGGGGTGAAACAGAGGAATTTTATAACTAACTCTGAAAAAAGTAATAAAACACATGAACATCAAATATGCACCCAAGTGTAAGTATCAGGTTTCAAGAGGGGAAAAGTTTTTAATATAAAAACAAAATTCAAGAGCGTGGCATTTGACAAGTCCTTGATGTGCTAGATTTAACCTAAGACAATGGTTGATTAATTTATGACTTGTCTCAGCACTCATGAGATTTGTAGTTATCTCTTGTTCTTGTTAATGAATGTTTCTGCAGTTTAGTTTCTCAGAAGACCATGCCAGTGGGGGGGAAAAAAAAGGAAAATGGAGAGTGCCTTCCACTTCGGCTATTGCCAATCAATTTTCCTTCTCTCTTCTGCCCCAAAAGGAGTTACCTGAAATAAAATTTACTTGTGTATCCTCACATCTCACTTAATTGTTTTTTTTCAAGCTGGATCATCTTCAGATGACTTTCATCTCAATCTCTGAAATTTCCAGAAGGGTGTGAATTAACAAACAGATACAGATCTGAGTTTCAATACCTTTTTGTAAGGATTGTAATTTGCACATAGACTGCTTGTTTTTTTGATTTTAATTGAGCGTTTTCCCTTTTTTAAAAAACATTTTAGTCCATGAAAGGTCCCTGGTATATCAATCACAGACAATCTAAGCCGAAAATTGGTAGTGCATTTTTGTCATTGTCATTAGTTACAACAAAGGTTCGTTATGGATCACAAAGTTATTGTATTTAATGTGATCTTGTGCTTAAAAGGATCTACCCTGAAGAAAATATAGAATCAACGTTTATTTTTAGTGTTACAAAAAACCACGACAAAGTTTACACAAGTATTCATTCTGTCCTCAACTCCTCACGTCTCAGACTGTCACCTGTGATTGCATGTTGCCTGCTAGTGTCTTGAAATCTGGGTTACAGTTTGAATCTGAGTCATCAAGAATAGTGATCGCTGGATTACTCCCAGTGCCAAGTGCTAGTGACAGTAGGAATAAAAGGGCAGGACTCATGAATGCATGGCTGAGGATCTGGTGCGGGGGGCAAATGTTGAGATTTTTGGATCATTGGGATGTCTTCTGGGGAAGAAGTGACTTGTACAAGAGGGACAGTTTACATTTGAAATCAAGCGGAACCAATATCCTGGCAGGGAGATTTCTTAGAGCTATTCAGGAGGGTTTAAACTCCTCGTGGTATTGGTGGTGGTGGTTGGGGGATAGTTTGGTGTGTCTGTGTGTGTGTCTGGCCCTAAGTGTGTGGAGGACCCTAAGCAGTAGTGAGATGAGAGAAGATTGAGGCAGGTAAAGAAGTTTTAAAAAGAGCAAATTGAATAGACAAGTCAGACAAGAGCACAGCAGAGAACAAAGGAAAGCTGATGAAATAAACTGCATTTATTTCAAGATAAGAGACTTGACAGGTAAGGCAGATGAAGTCAGTGCATGGGTGGGAACATGAGATTGGGATATCGTAGCTATTACAGAAACATGGCTGAGGAAGGGACAGGACTGGCAAGTCAGTGTTCCGGGTTTTGGATGCTATAGGAAGAGGAGAGGGGGTGACATTTTTGATCCGGGACAGCATCACATTAGTACTTAGAGGGATTATTCCTGGCGGATTGTCCACTGAAGTTATTTGGGTGGAATTGAGAATTGAGAAATGAGAAGGGGGTGAACACTTTGGGATTGTACTATTGGCTCCCAGTAGCAGGAAATTGAGGAGCAAATATGTAGAAAGATGGCACATATCTCTAAGAATAGTAGTGTTGTAATAGTAGGGGATTTTAACTTCCCAAACATCAACTGGGACTGCCGTAGTGTTAAGGGCTGGGATGGGAGGAATTTAAATGTGCTCAAGAAAACTTTCTCAAATAATATGTAGATGGCTCTGTGAGAGAAGGAGCAAAATTTCACCTTCTCTTGGGAAATAGAGGGGCCTGTGAGTGAGGTGTTAATGGAGGAGCACTTTGGGATGAGTGACCATAATTCTATTAGTTTTAAAATAGTTATGCAAAAGGATAGGCCTGGTCTACAAATTTAAAGTTCTAAATTGGGCCAAGGCCTATTGTGATGGTATTAGACAGGACCTTTCAAAAGTTGATTGGGGAGGCTGTCTGGCAAATGGGAGGTTTTCAAAAGCAAGATAATGAGAGTTCAGGGACAACATGTTCCTGCAAGGCTGACAGGAGAAGGGAACATTGGATGACTAGAAATATCGAGGCTCGGGTCAAGAAAGAGAAGGAGGCATATGTCAGGTATAGGAGATAGTAGGAACTGCAGATGCTGGAGAATCCGAGACAACAAGGTGCAGGGCTGGATGAACACAGCAGGCCAAGCAGCATCATAGGAGCAGAGAGGCTGACGTTTCGGGCCTAGACCCTTCATCAGAAAAGGGGGAGGGGAAGGGGGTTTTGAAATAAATAGGGAGAGAGTGGGAGGCGGATAGAAGAGGGATAGAGGAGAGGATAGGTGGAGAGGAAACAAACAGGTCGAAGAGG